CACTTTCTAATGCGCAAGACTCTTTTTCAAAGGAACGCCACTTCGACAGACTTAAAGCCTTAATTTGTTCAGGCTCTTCAGAAACAACTGATTTAGTTGGACAGGCACCACCCAGAGCTGACTGGAGACCTCTTCTCCAAGACCTCCTAGACCTCCACCAGGTCACCACGTTGAACATCTTGGAACAGACATGCCAAGATAAATTTGTTACATGGGCGATCGATGCTGTCTGCCACAGAACATATACACATTGAACCGTCCTTTGGGTACATGGAGCAACTCAATCAAAAGGCACAGCCTCATCCGCGCTGGTCCGCGCTCCTCCTATCCTGCAACTGTGGGGCTAAACAGGAAATCCGCTCAGGGAACTCTCATGTCAGTTATACCCTCTCGACATCTCTTGATGAAAATCATCTGTTCCCGCCCGAACTTCGCATCATGAAATGCACTTTGAGTGGCTCATCTTCAAGCTCCTGGCGGTTTCAAGAAATGCTTCGCCTGGAAGACCTGTGGGAGGGCTTCTCCAGTCGGCTTGTTGCAAAGGTGATCAAGAGTATCAGAGCATCTTATTAACATATCGTATATATCTGGATCGTCCAACTGTGACAATTTTCTGCCTTTTCATCCAAAAAATCAGCCAAAAGGCAGACATTTTGCACTGTTGGAAGACAAGGTATATATATATATGTTTGTATATGCACATATATAATATAGTTTATCAAGTCCTTCTGATTCTACGAATATGTGTGTGGCCTAGCATCCTTCGAGATCTTTGGAATTCCAGGCAAAGCAACATTGTGCTCAATTTAGCCCCCTAAAGCACTCTGGCTGACCTGTACTTTGGGTTCTTTGTTTGCAGGGAAAGGCAATGAAAGCAGGGAAATCTGGAGAACGACATCGCAACTTCGAAATATACACATAATAATGAACAGTGTGCATATAACACTACAGTGCCAAAAGTTTTGATTGGAGGGAATGAGATGGCTTTTCTGTGCTTCGATTGAAAGCGCTGGACTGTGTCAGCGGTGCGGTGTGAGCTTGTGAGTCAAGCAACACCCCATCTCAGTTGATGACCACCGCCAGGATGTGGAAACATGGTTGCCTCTCACACTATTATCATATATTACGCAGTATACATCAATATTGGGGTCATGGTCAGCTCCTCAATCATGTTGTTTCCAAACACCGTTGTGGCTTATTAAGGAGAGACCTCAAAGCATTCACGGTACGTCCACGCTGAGTGAGAGGAGGACAAGAGGAGGGCAAGGCCACCAAGGCCTGGACACCGAGCCCAGCCACACAGCCCAGCCACAGAGGTCCCGCTCTTGGATTTGCTGAAACAGGCGCAAGAAAAACATTTAAGAAACGCATTCCATCACAGTCCTCATGCTAGAAGATTCGCCCAGGAACCAGGAAAATCACCAAATTACCCGGCAAAACCAGGCACCACCATCTTCCCAGTTCGACTAACCAGGCACCACCACGGCGCATTTCTGCGCGCGTTCACCCGCGGTCCTTGCCGAAGAGGATCAAGCGCAAGGGTCCAGCGGCGCCCTTCTCCGCCACCCGGGCCTTCACCGACTTCACCTCGGCCCCGCGAAGTCGCCCGTGATCCCGTCGGTGTCGGTGTGACGGTCCCGAGCGAGCTTCCGGGGGCGGTGCCCGGAGGGTCCGAGCGGGTCCGGGTCGTCGCGGTGACCTGGTCAGGTTGGTTTCTTTCCAAAGAAACACCACTCGGTTTCTTTGGGATTCAGACCATTCAAACTAATGGTTGATTTGAATCCAGGCGGGTCACCGGTGTGGGAACGGGGGTCTGACGAGTTTGTTTGGGGGTTCTCGATGACCCGGTCCGGTCAGGTCGACTCGGCCAAAGAGAGGCTTTCAACTACCTGGACCATCTTGTCGGGGTGCCCTGTCTGGAAGCCTATAGGTAGTGTGGGATTGGACAATTCTTGGATGATGCTGGCATAGTCTTTGGCCGTCTTTTCTTGTAACCAGCACAGGGTTCCCTTCATTTCCACGGCAAAACCCAGGTCACGGTGCTCTCTTTGTCGGCTTCCACGTGCAGGAGCTCCTGCGGTCGCGGTGCTGTGCCGCTTTGGGTGACCTGAAAGGGTTGGAGTTTAAGAATGACGGTGAGTATGGAACATGTATGGAACATGTCATCATATGCCATCAAAAAGGAGAACAGTAATGATTCTTGATGTGGAGTCACAAGCAACGGGTCTTTGAATCAGTTCAACTGACATGATGCCAATCCAATTTTGAAGTTGCTTCGCCCAACTCTGGAGTCAGAGCTTCCCCACAACCTTGCACAGCTGAAACAAGTGGCATCCAGCACCCAGATGTTCCAAGTAAGGCCCACCTCATCTTTACAACGTGCATCCTTAAAACTTCGTGCCTACAGTGGTCCCAACAATGCTCGCTCCTTTGCATAGATGCTGGAGGACATGCCCCAATAGCCTTGGATGAAGCGAACCGGATTTTGACATGGAGTGCGAGCCAGTTGTCAGAAGCACCATGAGGGTGTCTATAGCTGAAATAGGGAGACCTCCCAGGCAACAAATTGCTGGAAGAAAGGAAATCAACCAAAAACATCAAAAAACTTGAGGCCAAGGGGGGGGGCGAAAGCTAGCGCTCCAGAATGGGAAAGTGGAGGGCAGCGAAGAGCAGCATCATTTCCCTGTTCCCGTGTAATGTGGCTTTAGATACCAGGTGAACGATTTACAAATACATCTCGAAGCCAAATAGGCTTTGGTAGCAGCGGGTCTGCACGGAGTAGCAGAAGGCAGGACGCCTTGCACAAGTTGGGCGGGGCAAACGATTCCAGGTGAAGAGTCCTTTATATGTGGCTCTTTGCCCGGATCCTCCTGCGAGAGAAGAGAGAGAAGAGAGAAGAGAGACGGAAAGACGAGAGACAGAGAAGAGAGAGAGAGAGAGAGAGGAGAGAGAGAGAGATGAGAGAGAGATGAGAAAGAGATGAGGGAGAGATGAGAGAGATGAGAGAGAGATGAGAGAGAGATGAGAGAGAGATGAGAGAGAGATGAGAGAGATGAGAGAGAGAGAGAGAGACAGTGAGAGTGAGAGTGAGAGTGAGAGTGAGAGTGAGAGAGTGCGGCCGCAAGAGACGCAACGCTAACCGCATGCCAAAGAGCGACGACAGGACGGAGTCGAACGGAGTCGAACTTGCGAAGAGGGAGGAGGGAGGGAGGGAGGGAAGATGGAGGAAGACAAGGAGGAGGAGAGGGGAGGTGGGGAGGGGGGGGGGGGGGGGGGGGGCTTCGACCTGAAAAATCAGGGGTTAGGATTTGCACCCGATCGAAAGAAACCTTGCTATCGCAAGAGTAACTCCAGCTAGCTTCGCTAGCTTTCGTGACAATCGAACACATTGGTTGAAGGTCTCCCCATTGAACTACACACCCAATGAAACACCACGAAGGCTGCCAAACAAGGCGACAGGTCGTCGACAAATCTGCCATCCCAAGGAAGGTCTCGATGTCTTCGACGTCCTTCTTCACCCCACCCCGGTGGGTGCTAAGCGTGTGCAGGAGGAACCAAGTGGTTCTGACCATGACCCCCCAAAAGACCAGAGGATACGATGAGTCACATCGCTTCGTTCCACATCGCTTCGTTCGCTTCTCCTCTCAACCAAACCCACCCAGCCCGAACAACTTCTCCACCGGACCGTCTGTGGCCTCGTGCCATCGCACTGGACCCGATCCTTCATCCCAGGCGCCGGCGGGCTCGGTGCCCTTCTTCACGGCTTCCAAGAGCTTCACCGCCACCGTGGGCGCCATGGCGCCGCGATCCGTCGCGCCGACGAAGCGCGGCGCGGACAAAGGACGTCTCGGTTTTTGGGCGTAGCAGCCGAAACTGGTTTCAACGGAAAAGAACACAGGAACAGACGAAAGCCGTCTAAAAGGGTACTCAAAGTCTCCAACTCGAAAGGTCGAGAACAATTTGCACACATTGAGTTGAAGCTTTTTGTGCAAATGGATACGATTGATCGAATACATGGCTCATCGCCTGAAGCCCAGATGCAAATGAGTTGAAGTATCATGCTTCACCCCAAATCAAACGGACGTGCCAGCATGAACGGGCATCCCATGAAGAGGAAATTGACTATGAACTCCCCCCACCTCGGAGATGATGATCCAGCACTACCATAGCTTGGGTCTATCCTAGACACCCAGGGCCTCAGTGGATGATGATAGTTCAGTTGCAGACCGACTGTTCAAACATCGTGATTTGTTTACTGACTGTTACGGGATGTTACAGGTAAGTTCGGACAGAACCAAACCATAGCCCTGGAAGTTATATTGAACAAATATGAAAAACATGAGTCAACATGTCTTTAATGGGTGAGCAAAGTTCGGTGTTTTCTTTACTTCTCTGGTACCAAGTCTTTGACTTGTCATCGCTGGACAGGACAGTGTCCACGAGTCTCCCATCATCTCCCATCAAAGTGACCTGTCCACTTCACCTACACGAAGTGAGGAACAACTCCACGGCTGAGAGGTACAAGCAAGCAAGGAGGTCACAGTTCACTTTGGGCAGCATGCATTCAATCAACTCCCCAAAATGAAAAAAGAGATTAAGGAGAACCCACGAACCACCCCTTAGGGGGCCTGATGGGCCCTGGTATGAGTTCATGAATGCCAGGTGCCATGGTCGCTGTTCCCTCAGGCGCATGAGGGTGTTCACCTCTGGTCCTGCCAACTCCGGGTCTCATGTCATGACCTCCGAATTCCTGCAACTTGCGAGGAGGGGGGACAGCCTTTAGTAGCAGCCCCCAACTCTGGCCATCTCGCACCATCTCGCAGCATCTCCCGTTCGGTTTTTTCAGGTTTTAGTCCTGTACGTCCCTTGCAACTCCATCTGCACCGCGCACCGCACCGTTCCCGCTTCCTCTTACTCCTGCCACGGCTGAAAACCCCCCGACGCCGCCCCCGCGGTGTTTCCCGACGTCTCACCGCCGTCGCCTCGGGAAGGTGTCGATCTCAGGTCACCTGGGGAAGCGGCTTTCGGCTTTCGGCGCGGAGTAGGTTCGGCTTTCGGCTCAAAGACAAAATGGAAACCAACGAACCCGAATGCAAACACGTACTCGAAAACAAACGCCCAAACATTCTGGGACACTTTTGTAGGAGACGCTCTTGTAGAACGCCTCCCGTGGGACACTCTCGTGCGACACTTTCGTCACTCTGTAGACGATCTTGCAGGACACTCTTATGGGACACTTTTGTGGGCTCTTGTGCAACACTCTTGCGGGAAACTCTTGTGGGACACTCACGTACTCTTGTGAGACACTCTTGTAGGACACTCTTGTCGGACATTCTTGCGGGAAACTCTTGCAGGACACATTCTGGTCCGAAACCCTTGTGGGACACTGTGCACTCTTGCGGGACACTCTTGTAGGACACTCTTGCGGGACACTCTTGCGGAACACTCTTGTAGGACACTTGTAAGACACTCCTGTGCCGCGCGGGGCTGCCAACACGACTTTGCAACGGCGATTGCCTCCGCGGCTTGCTGCTGCCCCGGGAAGCCGCGGCAAATCGAAAAAGGGCCGCCCGCGCTGCCGCGTTTTCCTTTGGCCAGACATCTCTGTAATGTCGCTTCGCGCGATGGGGTCGACCAGGGGGCTGCCCTGCAACGCATATAGAAAAGCAGCTGAGCAAAGGCACGCTCCGGTGGTTGCCACACCTGCGGTAGCAAATCACAATGACTGCAGGTCGGCGCCCGCCGCCAGACAAGGACGATGAAGGTAACTCCGACTCGGGGCTGCGCGCAGCGACAATCGCTGCTCTGACTTTGGTGAACAGCTCCCGCAAAATCCTTGCGCACTTGCTGGTGCTGCGCAAGATGTCAGGGTGAAAGCCAACGTGACAGTGTAGCGTGCTGTCACTGTGAGGGTCTGAAAAAGCTCGACAGTCGATGGCCGCAGTGCGTTCGGCCGCTGGCACGACTGCTTGTGCGCCGGTGAGGAGCTGCAGAAGCAAGTTTTCGTCCACCCTCCTGCCCATTGAGTCGTTTGTGGCCTGGTGGCGCAGCAGTTTCGCCTGTCTACGCTGCCACGGCTGCATGTCCACGCCAAAAGCTGACTCTAACGTCCACCCCAGGTTGGCGATCTAGCGCCACATCGAAGCCAAGCAATGGCATGCGAAATATGCCATGGGCGGAAGCACTATGTTCCCACACACCTTCAACCCCTGCCGGTCTTCATCCGACTGCTTGGCATTGAGCCATGTGTGAATCGGTGGACGCGGGGTCAATGACATGCATTCCCTCGCCGGCCAACTCTTCAGCTCATCCTCCGAAAGCATGGGGAAGTCCTGAAGAAGGGTCCGCGGAAGTTGAAACCATTTACATTGTTGCGCAAATTGAGCCCAAGTCAGAAGTACAGACCTTGAAGAGCCGGAAGTCTGGCTTCGCTATGAGAAAGAATGCGCGCTCGCGGGTGAAGTATCAAAAAAAAACTATTTATCGCATCAATAAAAAATTATTCAAGGGGATCAATAAAAAACTAATTACTTAATCAAAAAATAATAATTCTACCACGAACCCTCTTTGGGCTGGGCGTCGGCCTGTATACTAATCTCTTTCCTCCTGCCTGGCCTCCTGGCTAACAGGCAGTTTCCGCTCAGAGTCGAAATTCGTGGCAGGAATCTTGTGGCACAGGGGCGGGTTGGGGGGAGGGGGACGCGCCTCCCCCTATGAGCAGACACGGCTAACGCTTTCAGGTATGTACTACATTATTCTGAACTAACGTGAGTGATTAAATGTTTGATGGTTTTTTTCTTTTCTGATTATTGGAGTAATTTCATTCTATTTCATACATTTTGTCAATTCTGTAATGCATTATATTAAATCACGTTTCCTGTCTCTTCCTGGCTTTCTGGCCTCTTTTTACAACAGCAGCAGCTTTAGTTTTTAAAAGTCAAGTTTCCGCTCAAATCTTCCTGTGTGTCATACTAAGTTGTTGGTTCCTGGCTGATTGGCTTTTTTGTCTAGAATAACAGCAGCTTTAATGTTCAACAGGCAAGGTTCCGCTTACAGTCAGATTTCGTCGCAAGACTTTTGAATAGCATTTGCAGATTTGGTGGGCAAGGTTTACCAAGGTTCCACTAAAAGCCTGATTTCATGGCAGGGACGTTGAATACTATCTGCAGATTTCGTTGCGCGGGGGGGGGG